CAGAGATGGCAGATAACAGAACAAGGAGTAATGGTCTCAAGTTGCAGCGGGGGAGGTCTAGGTTGGATATTAGGAAACACTATTTCACTAGGAGGGTGGTGAAGCACTGGAATGGGTTACCTAAGGAGGTGGTGGAATCTCCGTCCTTAGAGGTTTTTAAGGCCCAGCTTGACAAAGCCCTGGCTGGGATGATTTAGTTGGGGATTGGACCTGCTTTGAGCAGGGGCTTGGACTAGATGACCTCCTGAGGTCTCTTCCAACCCTGATATTCTATGATTCTATGATTCCATGACAATGCAGCGGTGGTGGAAGCAGTGAGCTTCTCCTCACAACCCAGTGAAATTACTAAGAGCTGAGCTAGGTGATAGAGCTAGAGAATCCATATGTAGCATCCCACCTGAAGACAGACAGAGTGGTGAGAGATGATGTGGCAGCCCGGTGCCCCCTGCCCAACAATCCTAGAGCTGTAATCACTAAGAGCTGGGCTAGGTAGTCATGGTACCATGTGATCAGACCAGACATGACAGGTAGAGCAGCAACATGGTCCAAAGGCAGCATTGCAGCTACAGGCAGAGACAGGGCGAAGGGAGGCACCCCTGGATTCTGGAATGTCACCAACCCCCAACAACAAACTGGGAGTAGAGTGTAGTGGCAGGCCGGGGAATGTGGTGTGTTGAATTCATTCACTAGACATTCCCACTCGCAGGTGGGGAGACTAAGGCAAAGTAACCGTGGGGGTGGGCGTTTAACTTATTATTCACATACCGTCGATTCCTTGTTGCTGTGTTTTCCCAAACTAATGCTGTTCCCTCTCTCCTCACTAGACGTCTTCGTTTGAGACACGGACTCAGAGCTGTGAGTGGTGTTGCCATGAAGGGTGTCCAGGGGATATATTCAGCGATCCCAGTTTCTGGATGGAGGCTCAAGTTGGTTTGGTTTTGTAATTTCAAAATAGATATTGAACCCTCCCTTGTTGTTGCCAGCAATGCCTGGCAGTAAGGTTACACTGGATAGATAGTGTTATATTCCCACACTACACTCCCTCAGTGCAAAATGGAGCCGCTGCCCAGGCAAACAGAGAGCTGTGTAGATGGCAAAGGTGGCTTGCTTGTTTGTTGACCTGAGGCCTGCATTACCCTCTCTATGCAAACAGCATGTCATAAGCGATCCAGTGGAAACAAGGAGCATACCATCAGGAGCAGCAGCATCCCTGAGACAGGGACTAAAATCCAGTGGTTAAAAATGTCCATCCAGCATTAATTCCCAGTGGAGTGAACCAGATCATGCAGCTATGGTGGGAGAGGAACGGCTACCATGGTATGGGACCCAGCCCTGCTCCAGGGGGAGAGAGGGCCTTGGAAAAAGATGTGCTGGATCTAATCATTGCTGTCTGTGGATGTCCTGCATGTGCCTTTCTTCATATTAAATGAGAGTCACTGTCTTTCTAGGGCCAGATCAAGTCTTTTGCCACGTAGTAGGGTGTGTTGGGCAAGGAGGGACTGACATGGCCATGGGAGCATGTGGTGGAATTCCCTCTGGGGCTCTGCAGCGTGCATACCCGAGCAGTAGCTCTGCTCCTGTTTGGAAGAGTGCAACATGCATACCCCATGCAGTGGGAGAAACAGTGCGGGTAGAGAAAAGTCTTAGCTAAACAAATAGACTGAAATTCTCTACCTGCTGGACACCAGATGACGGGAGGAAGATGTGCAGCTGGGGACTGTCTTGATGTGTTCCCCCGCTGTGGGCGACAGGGCTAAAGGGAATGGGTAGATGCCATAATAAAGGAGGAATGTCTGTAGCAAGCCAGAATGAGAACAGGGGTTCAATGGTGGGACTGAACTGTCAGTGGAGGAAAGTGTCTTCTGTTCATCCCATTCTGTCACTCATACAGCTCTTTGAGGCAACTGGCCAGTTTAAGCTGTATTGCTAATTAATCTCCTGCTAAAATGTTCACCAGTGTGTCAGTACATTTCATAGTCAATTGCTTGATCACACTTTGGTTAGTAATGAAATATACTCAAGGACCAAATAACCAATATCAGTCAGGTTTATTGCTAAAAGTCAATGATGTATAGTACAGGGAAGACAGGTTCAGTATGGTACCAATTTCTGGGAAGCCATCTTGTGCTGCGCTGTTAAAGGCACTTTACCCAGAAGGTGTGCTCCCCAAGTCACACCTCCAAAGCTATCCTTTTTATACCCAACTTGTTTACAAGTCAAAAGGTACTGTATGCATCATCTGAAGCTAGGGAAGGACTCTTTACCTTGTTTTCTGGTACCAATGGTGAACCCCGTAGTTCTTTGTTCTGAACACATGTATTCCAGGCACCAAGAGTGTGAAGGCACCTCCTAGGCAGGTAGCAGGACAGAACACTTGTATCTTGAGCCTGACAGTTTTCCTGTCTGCTTAAGCCAAAGCTTACTTCAGCTAATGCAAGGGGTTATGGGTAAGGCTGCATATCTGTCACAGACGTCATGGAATCCGTGACCTCCATGACTTCTGCAGCGGCTGGTGTGGCTGGTTCTCGAGCTGCCTGAGGACTCAGGCATCCCCTGGGCCAGCAGCAGTTTGGGTGTGGGAGAGGTCTCAGGGCTGGGGCAGGAGGTTGAAGTGTGAGGGGGTGCTTACCTCGGGGGGGGGCAGGGGCTCACCGGAAGCGGCTGGCATGTCCCTGCAGCTCCTAGGTGGAGGGGCGAGGAGGCTCTGCATGCTGCCCCTACCTGTAGGCACCACCTCTGCAGCTCCCATTGGCTATGATTTTTGGCCAATGGGAGCTCTGGCACCGGCTCTCATGGCGGGGCAGTGCGTGGAGCCCCTCTGGCCTTCTCTCCCCCTAGGAGCTGCAGGGCATACCGGCAGGGCCGGCTCCAGGCACCAGCTTAACAAGCAGGTGCTTGGGGTGGCCAAGGGAGAGGGGCGGCACCTGCGGCAATTCGGGGGCGGCAGGTCCCTCACTCCCTCTAGGAGTGAAGGACCTGCCGCTGAACTGCCACCGCCGATCGCGGCTTTTTTTTTTTTTTTTTTTTTTGCTTGGGGC